TTTATTCAGTGTGCCTGTTTGTGTGTGCAAACATACATGCCACAACATTCATATGGAGGTCAGAAGACAACTTGTGGAAGTCAGTTTTTCTCCTTCCACTATGTGAGCTCCAATTATCAAACTCAAGTTGTCAGGGTTGACGGCAAGGACCTTTACGAACTCGGTCTTCTCGCCAATAATCAAAGCAATTCTGTTGTTTTGGGGTTTTTGTTTTGTTTTTTTTGTTGTTGTTGTCTTTTTTTTTTTTTTTTTTTTTTTTGGTATTGAACTCACAGAGATCCACCAGCCTCTGCCTCCCAAGTGCTGGGATTAAAGGCGTGTGTCACTACACCTGGCTTATTATTGTTCTTTTAAGACAGGATCTCACTATATAGCCCTTACTGGCCTGGAACTTGCCATGTAAACCAGGATGGCCTCAAACTCAGAGACCCACCTGCTTCTGCTTCTGGATTACTGGGACTAAAGGTGTGTGCCACCACGCCTAGCTGTCAAATCAATTCTTTGACCTACGGTGTATTTCAAAAAGCAAAAACTCAGCGGGGCATGGTGGCACATGCCTGTAGTCCCAGCACTTGGGAGGCAGAGGCAGATGGATCTCTGTGAGTTAAGGCCAGCCTGATCTACATAGTGAGTTTCAGGACAGCTGGGGCTACTGGGAAACCCTGGTTTAAAAAAAAAAAAAAAAAAAAAAAAAGCAAAAACTCAAAGAAATATGTTCATAAAACCCTGATTAATGTTTACACTCGATGCTGATGCATTGTTTTCGCTGTCCTTTACAATTAACCAACATCAACCCATCAGTTTAAAATGACTATTTTTCCTTTTCCTTGTTACTTATTCAGCCAATGGTAGGACAAAACAACCTCACTACTGAGCATGATGCTCAGCTCCCTGTACAGGGCAGCTGCTCTGTTTCCTGTTCACACATTTATGTCTGAAATATGGAAGAGCTGGCTTTCAGGAGGAAAGAAGTGAGCATGCCCTCAGAGGATGGTCCATGAACAGTTACTGACTTATGTATGACACAATACGTACAGAAATTGGGAAGCATATTTAGAAATCATTAGCATTCTGGCACTGCTGCAACTATCTGGTGCAAACAATGAGTCTATGGTCATCTGGAAATGAAAATAAAACTGGGGGGCTGGAGAGATGGCTCAGCGATTAAGAACACTGGTTGTTCTTGCAGAAGACCCAGGTTCGAATTC